CTGGGAGGGGCTGCCGGGAGGCGGCTGGAAACCCGGCAGGCCAGAGCGGCCCGACCTAGCTGCCCACCCCCAACAGGTGGCGAGCCGGCCATTTGCCTTCCCTTCCTCCCCAGACCTCCGGCGAAGGGCGAGTCCCCCGGCCAGTGGACACAAAGGTGGCCGCGGAGGGTCCCTCAGCCCGCACTGGGCTTCCCCGACCAGCTCTGAGCAGGAGGGCCTCAGACACGCGGTCCCGGCCCCCAGCCCCGATCCCGGAATGGCCACCAAGTCAGGGATCCTGAAAGAATTCCATCTTGCCCCCCACTGGCCCCTCTGGAACTGGGAATGGGCCGGTGGCGGGCCAAGTGGCCTTGAGAAGAAAAAAGAAAAGGTTCTTGCTTTATAGCTTCCTGAATCCCTAATTAAGGCAACCCAGAAACGGAGATCACTAAGCATCATCCTGTGATTTTAATCCAAGGACTCTCTGGCTCCATGTGAGCTTTTGAATTAACCAGATCAAAATCAGAGAGAGCAGAAGCATTCTGAATATTTTAAAAATATTGTAAAACAACAACCACCAAATCAAATGAGGTGAATTTACCCAGTAGGTAAAAATGGGTCATTATCATCCGGCTAAGAGAGCAACAGATGTTTTATTCCAGATGCCCATGGTTGCAAAAATATACCAGAGCTTTAAGAGTTTTTAGCTTTCAAAGTTTCAAGGAAGATCAGACAAGCAAGTGTGGTTCTACAAAAGACTGTCTCTGGCTTCCACTCTCCTTGAGATGTGCAATTCTCCTTTATTCTGCATTTACTCTTCCCAATGTATGTCCATCTTTCTGTTTTCCTTTTGTTTACTTCTTAAACTTCGGCCTCTTCTCTTTGGGTCTCCTATAAAATTACAGAGAGTTAATGCAGCAAAGAGCATAAGAGATTATGTATTTTAGCACTTCTGAAACTTGAGAAAATATTAACATCACTCAGGAAGCTTTGTTAAAAACCCCCGCCTGCTGAGCACAGAGCCCACCCCCAAAGCCTCTGATTAGGCAGGTCTGGATGGTCCTTAAGACTCTGCATTAACAGGCTCCTGGTGAAGCTGATGCGGCTTGTCCTGGGACCCCTGGCCTAGTTCATTATGCCCTTCACCTCCAAAGTGGGGAAGTCTGTACTAAACGCCAACTCCAGGTTGCCACAGTCAGTCTTAATGTGAAAATTTTTTTTAGCATTTCTCAAATTTATAGACTAGAATTCATGGTCTCTGTTCTTTATTGAAAACAATCACTTTATATTCCCAAATCAAATTAAGATTTTTTTCCCCCAGAATTGCAATCATCAGATGCCCCTTTTTGGGGAGGGGCTGGAGGAGGGCTGTCATGGCAAAAGATTTCTCTGTGTCCTTAGGATGAAAGTTGGCTGACAGCTTCTAGCTCCTGCCCAGGATGTGCAACTATTTCCCTTTATGCATAGTTGGCTAAGCAAAGTTTTTTCTGCTCTTTGGTGTGGAAGCTTTTGGGGAAGCTACAGCTCCAGAAACCTGATCAGTGGCTAAAATAAGATGCAAGAATGGCTTCTCCAGGGCACTCTTCCAGCTAATACATCTAATCTTCTTTGGGTAATTAGCACAACTAATTGTGGGGGGAGCCGAGCCTTCGAAGCCCTGGAGAAGCGTCCCAAGCCTGCCAGGTCCCCAGCTGCACCCCGTGCCTCTGGGACGACATCCCATCCGAAGCACCTGCCTTGTTTCTCTCATATTAATTGTAAGAAATCTGCTTTCCTGCAAGAATATGTGTTTCATCTGCAGGGCCCTAAATCAATGTGTAAGCCTAATTTTGTCAGTAATTAAATAGTACTAAGTGTTTGTGCTGTGTGGATTACACTTTCACGTAGGGCAGTGCGGGGTCGCTCTGGAGCAAGGGGCCGGGGTGCCGGCTTTGTCCGGGAGCTGGTCAAGGTGGCAAGGAGCCTGCTGGACCTCAGTGTGGAAGGGGATGATACCATCGGTGCTGGAGAAGGGGCGTTTAGGTGCTGAAAGCTGGGGCAGTATTTACGACTAGCCGTTCTCCTCCAGTGCCTCCAATAACAGCAGGGAGAAAGCTCAAGCTTGCCGCAAACAGTTTGCAGTGGCAACTGCCCTTGCTTTTAAAATAGAAGAAACCTCCTTCTGCTCGGAGGGACGCTGAGAACCCAGCCTGTCAGCCTCCCAAGTAACCCATGGCATCTCCGGGTGACCCCTCGGCAAACCCAGAGGAACGGATCAATAGTATCACGCCCCGTTTGCCTTAATTTACTGATTTTGTGGATCCGTACCAAGAGTTCAACAGACCCTACATGGTCCTCTTTGAAGCTCTATGCCTTACCTCCTCGAATGAATCTTGCATTCCCAACTCTAGCCTTCCTCAGTCGGGGGTGAGCATTCCATGGGCTGGGGGAGAAGCTGCAGGCCTCCCCTGCAGAAGGTTCTCCTGGGCTTTGTGTACACTTGTCCTTCATTGGAGCCTGGGATGGGGCGGCTAGCTGTTTGCTGAATCCCCCTTCTCCCTACAAGACACACAGCCGAACCACAGGCCCTGGCCTTCCTGAGAGAAGTGTGGTCCTCACGGGCTGGGTACTCAGTGGGGAGGGATCTATACGATCCCTTACTGCACACAAAGCGTACCTATGACATGCCTGCTCCTGGCCGGGCATCAGAGACCTAGCAAGGGGACGTGCCACCACAGAGCTTGTATTCTCACAGGGACAGGGCAAATAAAGAACATGATACTTTTAGAAAGACCCTAGAAAAAACTCGGACAGGATCATGTTTACCTTGAGAGAGATCTGGCAAGGCTTCTCGGAGAAGGTGGCCTTAAAAGCAGGACCTTACTGAAAAGAAGGACCCTCTGTGCCGAACTGGGTCATAAACGTGCCAGTGGAGGGGACAGCACGTGCGAGGGGTGTCAAAGCTGCTGGGTCAGAAAGAAGCCTTGGCTGAAGCTGAGGGAGCCGGGGGGCCAGTGGGAGGAGGTGAGGTCACGGGTACTGGCCGGAGACACAGGGGCAAGGCCTTGCCAGTTTGGGTGGGGAGAAGGGAATCAGGAAGCCAGAGCAGGATGTCATGTCCTGTGAGCTGATTCATATTTTTAGCAGAGTTCCTGAAGGTCCTATAGTGCCCAAGAGGCGGGGGCATGGCCGGCTCTCCTCCCCCCAAGGGGGCCCTCCATCCTGCTTTCACGGGGCCACGCGGGTAGCTGGGAGGCTGCTGAGCTAACAGTCACCCACCCCAGGTGCCCGGGGGGCTGGCTCTTCCTGGCCCTCCGCGGGCTGGGCCTGCTCCCACCTTCCTCTCTAATTTCTGGTCTCCTGGGCCACAAACACCCCTGGTCATTACCCACCCAATAGCAATGGGTTGTCTGGCGTCTGTGTGTGCCGGGCCCCGGGCTGCGCTATTCTCGGGGGCAGAGAACACGGGATGGTGGGGTCGATGGACACTGCAGTCCAGGCCGGTTCGGGAAATCTGTTTGACAGCTGTCTGCCCTTCTGCAGTGATCGGGAGCCAGCACCTCTCAGGACCTGCGCCTTCCTTTCCTGAGGCTGGGCCATCAACATCTGGGGGGGGCGGGGTTGGTCTGAAGGTCTCAATCCAGAGAAAGACCCAAACCCTGCTTCAGTCCTCAAGAGCGCTGACCACAAAGGAGAGAAACCTGGAGCTTCCTGGGCCCCAAACACCATCACATAAGACTGATGCGTCGAAAGAACCCATTTGCTTCCCTTTTTTTTTTTTTAAGATTTTATTTATTTATTTGACAGAGAGATTGACAGCGAGAGAGGGAACACAAGCAGGGGGAGTGGGAGAGTGAGAAGCAGGCTTCCCGCTGAGCAGGGAACCCAATGCGGGGCTCGATCCCAGGATCCTGGGATCATGACCCGAGCCAAAGGCAGACGCTTAACGACTGAGCCACCCAGGCGCCCCAACCCATTTGCTTTTCTAACTAAGCACCCAGATGGTTTGGTTTCTTGAGTCCCTGAAAACAGGTGTTTCTCGTGGCCGGGGAGGGCTGGGCTCTGACCACACAGACGCCTCTGTCAGGGGATGAGTGAGCAAGGCCCTGAGTCAGACACACACGTGCACCTCCCAGTGTTACCACTGAGAAAGTGGCCCCCAGCCCTGCCCAGAAAGAGCGTTTCTGACAGTCACACCCGGGGAGCTGATCCAGCCCTGGAGGGGTCCGTGCAGCCACGGAGGGAAAGGCTTTGCCGGCAGTTTGTGGAGT